GCTTGGCTCCACAATCAACAGTCTTGGTTTCAGCAGCGAGGAAATCAAAAGATGAATTGCACTGGGAAAATCTGCTGTCAGGGAACTCTCCAGAGTACTGAAGAGCAACAGTGTCAGTCTGGAGAGTAAGGTGTGCCTGATCTAGGCCATGATCTTTGCAATTACTTGTTAAGCATCAAAAAGATCAAAAAGGGCAATGGCTGGGGATGACAGATGGAGAATTGATGCCTTTAAGCTGTAGTGTTGGAGAAGAGTTTTGAACATACTACTGACTCCTAGGAGAATAAACAAGTTCATCCTGGAGAGGGTGAAGCCAGGCTGCTCCTTGGAGGCAAGGATTCTGAAGCTCCATCTGACATACCTAGGCCATGTTGCAAGAAGGGACCAGTCCTTGGAGAGGGTCATCATGCTTGGGAGGGTGGAGGGACAGCGCAGGAGAGGAAGAGCGTGGGTAAGATGGATTAATTGAGTGACTGGGGTCATGGGGGTGGGTGTGCTGGAGAGGATGAGATTGGCACTGGATAGGGCAGGGTTCAGAGCTGTTGTACACAGGGTCGCTATGAGTCGTAAGCAACTTGACAGCACATAACAACTGTAGGAGCTTAAGGAATTTGTGAAAACAAGAGGATCTCCACAAGAAATTCCAAGGGGAATTCCTACACAGAGAACCCAGGGGAACATGGGTGGACAACAGTAACAAGACACAACACAGCAAAAGGCAGTGATGAAACTGGGCCTGTCACTACTCACACATAATGGGAATAGCTTCAGTGGAAAAATTAAGAGTCACAGAATAGATAAAAAAAAACCAAAGCCATCAATATGTTGCCTACAAAAGACACATCTAAGAAATGAGAAAAAAGATGAGACTGAAAACCAAAGGCTGGAAAAAATACACCACGGAAATGGCATCTACAAAAAAGCAGGATCTCTGATAAAACAGACTACAAAATGAAAAGCACTATACAAGTTAAGGAGGGGCTGTTGTGTTCTGTGCGGCTGAGTCACCTACGATGCACAGCGACCTGATGGACAGCAGCTCTGAATTCTGCCCTGTTCTGAGCCAAGCTTATTAATTTTGACACACCAATCCCTATTTCCCCAGTTACTGTATCAATCCATCTCATCCGAAGTCTTCCTCTCCTGCACTGTCCATCCACCCTTCCAAGCATGATGTCCTTCTCCACGATCAGTCCCTCCTGGCCACATGCCCAAAGTATGTGAGACGGAGCATCAAAATTCTAGACTCCAAGGAGAAACTTGGTTTCACCTTCTCCAAGACAGACCTATTTGTTCTTGGCGATCATGCTATGTCTAAGACTCTTCTCCAGCACCACAACTCAAAGTCATCGATTCTTCTTCTGTCCTCCTTAGTCACTGTCCAGCTCTCTGATGCATGACAAGTAACTGCAAAACCATGGCCTGGATTAGGCACACCTTAGTCTCTAGACTGACATCGTTGATTTTCAGCACTCTGGAGAGGTTCCCGACAACAGATTTTCCCAACGCAATTAGTCTTTTGATTTCCTGACCGCTGGTACGGAGAGTGTTGACTGTGGATGTGAGCAAGCTGCAATTGTTAATAACCTCAATCTCTTCTCCATTCATCACGATGCTGTTAACTGGCCCAACGGTGAGAATCTTTTTATTCTGCTGTGTCATCACAGCAATCTTTCTATACTGACGACAGAGTACGCTTTAACTGTTAATCACCTCAAACTCTTCGCCATCTATCAAGGTGCTCCTAACTGGCCCAGCAGAGAGAACGGTGAGCTTTACTCCATCTTGAAGACTACAGTCCTTGAGCTTGTGCAGCAAGCGCTTCAGGTCCTCTTCAGTTTCAGCAAGCAAGGCTGTGTCATCTGTGCAATGTAGGTTGTTGATGAGTCTTCCTCCAATCCTGATGCCACATTCCTCCTCATAAAGCCCTAATAAAAGGCACAATAGGTAAGAAGACACAACCTTGGTCAATGTCTAGGCACCAAATAGCAGATGTGCAAAATACAGAAAATAACAGTTAACATATATTTGAAGAAAGAAATAGCACTAGAGTACTTGGAGACTTTAACACAGCACTCTCACCAAAGGACCTGTAAACTAAAAAGAAACTTAAATATGCAGAAGAGCTAAACGATACAATCAGCCAGCTCAACCTTGTGGGTGGATATAGGGTACTGCGCTGAACTAAAACTCAATTCACCTTCTTCTTAAGTGCACATGGTACTCTAGAACTGATCGTATATTAGGACACAAAGCAAGCCTTAAAAAATTCAATAAAATGAAATTATACAAAGTATCTTTTCAGACCACAATGTCATAAAATTAGATATTAAGGACAAGTGGATAAAGCTTTTAAGTCACTATACCAAAAAGAACTGGCTGACAGAGAAGATTTTCATGAAAACCAAAAGGAGAAAGTTCAAACTACTCTGTAAGAAATGGAAAAAAAACAAGGTCCTAGGAATTGACGGCATACCAACTGACATATTTCAACAAAGAGATGCTGCCCCTGGAGGTGCTCACCAGGCTGTGCTAACAAATCTGGAGGACAATCACCTGGTCAACTGACTGCAAGAGATCCATATCTATTCCCATTCCAAAAAAAAAAGGTGACAGAGTGTGAAAATTATTGAACAGTAACATTAATATCACATGCAAGCAAGATCCTGCTAGAAATTATTGAAAAATGACTGCACATCAACAGAGAACTGTCAGATGTACAAGCTGGGTTTAGAAGTCGTGGCACTAAGAACACTATAGCCAATTTTAGATGGACTGTGTAAAAGCATTTGACTGTGTGAATCACAACAAATTGTGGCTAACCTGGAGAAGAATGGGAAACCCAGAACACTTAACTGTGCTCCCGCCAAATCTATACTTGGACCAGAAGTAGAACAGAGAAGGGAAACACTGCATGGCTCAGGATCAGGAAAGGTGTGTCAAGGATACATCCAATCTCCACACCTCTTCAATCTAATATGCAAAACAGATCATTCGGGAGACTGGGCTTTATGAGAGGCGGAATATGGCATCAGGATTGGAGGAAGACTCATCAACAACCTGCGTTATGCAGATGACACAACCCTGCTTGGTGAGACTGAGGAGGACCTGAAGCGGTTGCTGCAGAGGGTCAAGGACTGCTGCCTTCAGAATGGACTGTGGCTCAATATCAAGAAAACAAAGATTCTCACCACTGGGCCTATTGGCAGCATCGTGATGGAGGATGAAGAGATTGAGACTGTTAAGAGCTTTAGGTTGCATGGCTCCACCATCAACACTCTGGGCACCAGCTGCCAGGAAATGAAAAGACTTATTGTGATGGAAAAGTCTGAGCTTAGAGACCTCTCTAAAGTACTGCAGAGCAAAGATGTCAGTCTCAAGACTAAAATACACCTGATACAGGTCATGGTCTTTGCAATCACTTGCTATGCATCAGAGAGCTGGACAATGACTAGGGATGATAGAAGGAGAATTGATGCTTTTGAGCTGTGAGGCTGGAAAAGTCTACTTAATATACCATGAACTGCTAGGAAAACAAAGAGGTTCATCCTGGAGAGGGTAAAATTAGGCTGCTCTTGGAGGCAAGGATTCTGAAGCGTCATCTGACATAATTTGGACATGCTGCAAGAAGGGACCAGTCCTTGGAAAGGGACAACATGCTTGGAAGGGTGTAGGAACAACGCAGGAGAGGAAGACCCTGGAGGAGATGGATTGACTCAGTGACTAGAGCAATGGGATTAGGTCTGTCGGCGATGATGAGCTTGGCTCAGGATAGGACAGGTTTCAGAGCTAATGTACACAGGGTCACATGAGTCGCAGGTGACTCGACAGCAAAACAACCATAACACCGTGAAGACTAACTTTGTTCTCAAAGACTTACCACCACACGTGGGGAGGAGGGAAACAGCGACCGAGGGGCTTACGGCGCCTCGTCGGATTTAGTGCTCTGGCCTCTCGGCCACCTCCCCCCTCACGGCAGAAGAGCGCGGGGCACACAGCTGCTCCCTCACCAGATCACCTCTAACTCCGTGCACTTCACAAAGAACCACCCCGTTCTCCTGGGCACTACTCACCATTCTGCCTCTGCTCTCTGGAAGTCCACCTGAACGTCCTCCCTGAGCCCAGGGGGTCCCAGGAGGAGGAAGGAAGGCAGGGGAAGCAGGGCCACCAGGCACTCTGGACGCTGATGAAAGCTGGGTCCACACAGCCAGTCTCAGCAGCTCAAATTCTGACTTGTGCTGACACAGATGAGCCAGAGGGACGTCTCAGTCTCCACCTGTTCACAGAGGACAGGTCATTCCTGCGGCACAGGGGGACCTAAAACAGGACAGGACAGTGGTGAGTAAAGACAGAGGGGCAGGTTCCTGCCTCCAGTTCTCCCCCTGGGCAGACTTTCTAATAAGTGGTTTGGCTCTCTGGGGCCAGAAACTATGCCTGAATCAATTTCACCCTAATTTCTTTTTTTAAAATGTTTTTAAAATTATGTTTTGTGTGTGTCCTGTCAAATCAGATCTGACTGGTACAGGAGGAGATTGCCCCTCCGTCTCCAGCAGAGCATCTGGTGGATTCGAACCGCACCCCTCTGGGATTGCAGTGCAGCTTCTTGCGACTAGGCCACCAGAGCTCCCCAAGTTCACCCTAATTTCGTTCCTCACATCCTGCCTTGACCAATCCTTGAGTTTGGAGAAACTCGGAGGGTGTGATCTCTACAAAATCACGCACGATCGCCTCTCCTGATGTCAGCACATCGCACGTTACACAGGATCAGACTCCTGTCTTACATCCAAAATGGAAAACGCCTTTTCCTACAATATTTTCCCCCGAAATTGGGCAAAATATGGGTCTAACTTCACATTGCAAAGAGCCATTTTTGGGTGTTTCTCCGTGTGCCCTGGAGATCGACCCCCATTCACAGGGTGAGACGTAGCGCTGTCAATCCACAGGTTCGAATCCCCCAGCTGCTCCGCAGGAGAAGGGTGGGCCCTGTCCTCGCGCGCGGTTTACGGCCGCTGACAACCCGCTGGCGGGCCGGACACGGGTCGGTTCCGACTGGACGGGACACGGACACCGACAAGGACAGCTCGGGAGAGGCCGGGGCACGAGCTCACCTTCCCGCCCGGGGCGCGGGGTCCGCGAAACCCCGACTCTCCCCGCCTCCCCGGGTCCGCAGACGGCACCGACTGCACGGGGGCCTCCCGGTCAGCGGCCGGACACAGGACCGCTCGCGCGCTCAGCGAGCTGGATGTTGAAGGGTCAGCGGCCGCGGACGCAGGCGGTCTGGCCGGTACCCGGGGCCGGCGAGAGACCGGGGCTGAGCAGGGCCGGAGAACAAGCCTCAGACAGCGGACGACCCTCCCCGCGGACCGCCTGGGTGGACAGGGCGGAACTCGTCTGCCGCGGAACCAAGAGCGCCAGGAAATGTGACCCGCGACCGCCGGCTCGCACTTCCGCTTCCGGCTCCCGTGGCGCCGGAAGGGTCGGCTGTGCCCGATGCACCCGGTTCTTGTGCCTCTTTCCACTCCGTTTCTCGCTCCGTCTTCTCCGCCGGTTCGCGCCCCGGTTCCCCCACCGGTTCGTCCGCCGGTTCGCGCCCCGGTTCCGCGCCCTCCCTCCTGTCCTGGGCGCTCTCCTCCGCTGACCTTGTGTCCTCTGGCTTTAACCCCAAAGGCGGTGTCTCGAGTCTCTGCTATGCGGTGTTTATTTGGCCATTTGTGGAAAAGTTGCTGCGTCCTATAGACAGAGAGTTTGTCAAGGGGATGATTACCAAAAAAGGTCCAGGGGCCTCTTGGAGTAAGAACTAGAAAGTTCTCGGAAATACAAGAAAGACCAGGTGAAAGCAAGAGAAGGAAACTGAGGCTTATTAGACGCTCATAACAGATTATGAATGGGTCAGGACAGACTGACTCCTTTTTTATTTTATAAAATATAAATCCTCTTTTATATATCCTCTGGGGAGTGGGTTTAAACAGCCAATTAGTGCATTTTGCCACATTCCTTGAGAGTCTGTTTTTATTGTCATGTAGCCCGCATTCCTTGGGGGTCGGTTTCTATTGTTAAGTGGCCACAGCCTTTGACAAACCCAGATCTGATTGATCTCCTTTGTCAGCGTGTCCTGTGCCGTTCTCTGTCAAGTTGATTTATAAATCACCATTTGCCTTTTTTTCCCAATACAATTTTTATTTTATACTGGTTTACATACAGAGTTCATATACATTGTTTCTTCCCCACTTCCTTTACTCCCCCCTCCACCCACCAAATTGTGAGAGACCTTTTGATTTCACCCCCTGCTCTTACCTCTCGGTTCCCACCCTCCTCACCTTGGATCCTCATACACATTTTACTAGTTATCTATTTGTACAATAATGGTCTTGTTAAGTGCCTTGAGTCGCCTGTGACTCAGTGACCCTATGTACAACAGCTCTGAAACCTGTCCTGTTCTGAGCCAGTCGCACAGACTACTGAAACACCTATTCCCATTGCGCCAGTTACTGTATCAACCCATCTCATCTGGAGTCTTCCTTTTCTGTGCTGTCCCTCCATCCTTACAAGCATGATGTCCTTCTCCAAGGACTGGTCCTCCCTGGCCGTGTGCTCTAAGTATTTGAGACAGAGCTTCAAAACTCTAATCTCCAAGGAGAAAATTATTTTCACCCTCTCTGGGACAGACTTATTTGTTTTCCTGACCGTCCATGGTATGTCCAAGACTTTTCTCCAGCACCAGAAGTCATAGGCATCAATTCTTCTGTCACCGTTAGTCACTTGTTCAGCTCTCTGATGCATAGCAAGTAATCGCAAAGGCCGTTATACAGTATTTGTCTTTATGGTACTGAATTCACTTAGCATAATGCTTTCTAGTACTTCTGAAGTTAAGTAGTGATTTTCAAAATCATTCCTTCTGCATAAATGTGTGTGAATGTTTTCAAGATGGTGACTAACACTGCGATGAACACTGGTGTACAAGTCAAACACAAATAGCTCTCCATTATTCTCTGCTTCCAACAGAGATCTATGTGTCATCAGCGGTATTCTTCAGGCCGTGGCTTTCTCTGAATCCAGCTTGGATTTTGGTTAATGCAGTTCCAGTCATTTATTCATACTCTTTAGCAAGGATTTACTTGCACATGATATTAATGACGTTGTTGTGTGCTGTTGAGTCAGACCCATAGCTGATCCTCCAGCGAGTTTTCAGAGGTAGTTAATCATACAAGAGGAGCAAGGATGTCATTTAAAGACTAAGGTGCACTCGAACCAGGCCATGGTCTTTTTATTTGCTTCCTATGCTGGGAAATTCTGCTGTTAGGGACCTCTCCAAAGTTCTGAAGAGCAATGGTGTCTCTCTGGAGACTAAGGAGCATCTGACACAGGCCATGGTTTTTGCAATCACTGGTTATGCATCAGAGAGTTAAACAATGACTAGAAAAGACAGAAGAAGAATTGATGCCTTTGAGCTGTGGTGCTGGAGAAGAGTATTGAA